AATTGCGAGGGAGTCTTGATTCAATTGCGAGGAAGTCTCAAGCGGGAGCGCCGTTCCTGAGTAAATGGTGAGGACGTCTCAGATGGGAGCGGGGGTCCTGGCTAAATTGCGAGGAAGTCACAGGCGGGAGCACCGATCCTGAGTACACTGTGGTCCTAAATAAGTTTGGAGGAAGCCTCAGGCGGGAACCGTTGTTGTTGTAATCCGGGAAGGCAGGGGCCCAGTTTGAGCACCAAGACTTCCCCTGTCAAAGAACAGGGTGCGAGCGTCGAGGGGCACATTTTGATTGAGAAAAACAATATGCACTGGTGAGGGGGGATCAGCAATAATTGATTCAGAACTGAAGTTCAACAACAACAGCAACAACAATCATTTTAAGACTGTTCGCCCTTATCTGCTCGAGTGTCCAGTAACGCGTATTTCCCAAACCCTCGATACCCGCCCTCTTCGTCTTCGATCGAACCCTTTTTGGGGGGTGTACCTTTCTTCCCTGCAGGCCGGGCCCCGGCAAGCGGCGGGGCGGCCGCGGACTGTTGGCCTGCCCCGCGGCAACGCTGATCGGCGGGGCGGCCGCGGAACGTCGACCCGACCCCAAGAGGGACGGACAGGGGACCGACCACGACAACGACGACGACGACGAAGACGGCGGCGACGACGACGACGGCGACAACGACGACGAGCGAAAGCGAGAGCGAGAGAGAACGACAGCAGGGCCACAAGGACACGAAGTAGGCCACGAAGGGCGACAGCGGGGACACGAAGGGAATGCGTATGGGGCCATGAAGAGCGCTAACGAGCGGGGGCCACGAAGGGCATACGTATACTGGGCCGCGGAGGGCAAGGACGGGGACACTGAGGGCAGCAACGTGGCCACGAAAGGCAGCGAGGGGGCCATGAAGGGCGACAGCGGGGCCACGAAGGGCAGGAAGGGGGCCACGAAGGGCGACAACGGGGCCACGAAGGGCATGCGCATGGGACCACGACGGGCGCGAACGATGGGGGGCCACGAAGGGCAGATCATGCGGGGCCACAGAAGGCAACGACGGGGCCACTGAAGGTAGCAATTGGGCCACGTAGGACAGTGAGGGGGCCACAAACGCCGACAGCGGGGCCACGAAGGGCAGCGAGGGGGCCTCGAAAGGCTACAGCGGGGACACGAAACAAAGCGAGGGGGCCACGAAGGGCTGCAACGGGGTCACAAAGGGCAGCGAGGAGGCCACGAGGAGCTGCAACGGGGCCACGAAGGGCAGCGAGGGGGCCACGAAGGGCTGCAACGGGGCCACGAAACAAAGCGAGGGGGCCACGAAGGGCTGCAACGTGGCCACGAAGGGCAGCGAGATCCCGATTCTTAGGTAATCTGTGAAGGAGTCCTGAACGTGAGCGCGACTCCTGGGTGCCTGGGTGTCGGGAGCGCGGCGCTTGAGTACATTGCAAGAATTTCCAACGCAAGGACGCTGTTCTTCAGTAAATTGCAAGCAAGTCTCCAGCGAGAGCGCGACTCCAGAGCGCCGGGACAGCGATTCCTGAAAAGATTAGAAAGAAAGTCCCACGCGAGAGCGCGATTCCTGAATCAAATGCTAGGAAGTCTCGGGCGGGAGCGGGAGTCCTGGCTAAATTATGAGGAAGTCTCAGACGGAAGCCATTGTTGTTGTGACCCTGGGGCCAACAACACAGTTTGACCCTCACGACTTTCCCTGATAAAAAAAACAGGGTGCGAGCCCCGGGAAGGGCACTTCATTCGAGAAAAACAATGTGCACCCGACGGGGGGATCAACAGTAATTATTCTTCAGAAATGAAAGTTCAACAATCATTTTAGGACTGTTCGCTCTAATCTGCTCGCGCCCACCCTCTTCGTTTTCGATAGTACCCCCTTGGGCATATGTCTTTCTTACCTGCAACGTGTATGTCGTGCAGCACCGAAGGCAGGGGAAGAGAGGACGGATGGAAGGAGGGGACAAAGGGGAGAGAGGAGGATGGAGCACGAGAGAGAGAGAGAGAGAGTAGCAGGAGGGGGGCTAGGAGCAGAAAACATGTGGCCGAACCACAAGAGCAGCCTACGCCGGGGCCGCGAAGGTCAGCAATGGGGCCACTGAGGGCACCAGCGACTGGGAGCCACGAAGGGCAAATAGATGGGCCACAAAGGGCAGCGAGGGGGCCACTGAGGGCACCAGGGGGGAGGCACACGGGGCTACACTGGGGCCACGAAGGGCAGCAACGAGGCCACTGAGGGCACGAGCGACTGGGGGCCACGAAGGGCGTATATACGGGCCACAAACGGCGGCGAGGGGGCCACTGAGGGCAGCAGCGGGGCCACGAAGGGCAGCACTGGAGCCACTGGGGGCACGAGCGACTGGGGGCCACGAAGGGCGTGTATATGGGCCACAAAGGACAGCGAGGGGCCACTGAGGGCAGCGTCGGGGCCACAAAGAGCAGCGACTGGGCCACAAGGGGAGGTGCCGACTGGGCCACAAGGGGAGCGGCCACGAATGGCAGCAATGGGGCACCAAGGGCGCGAACGAGCATGGGGCACGAAGGGCATGACCCTGACGGGCGGCCCGAGCGGGAGGATCGATCGTGAGTTCTGCGTGATTAGCCAAGAAGTTTCCAGCGAGAGAGCGATTCCTAAGTAAATTTGAAGAAATCCCTAGCGAACGCGCGATTCCTGAATGGCAAGAGCGCGGCGCCTGAGGAAGTCTCAGGCGGGAGGATGTCTCAGGCGGGAAGTCTCAGGCGGGAAAAACTAAATTGCGAGGAAATCTCAGGCGGGAGCGCAATTCTTGAGTAAATTGCGAGGAAGTCTCAGGCGGCAGCGGGGGACCGGAGTAAATTTCGAGGACGCATCAAGCGGGAACCGTTGTTGTTATAAACTGGGGGCCAGGGGCACAGTTTGAAGAGGAATCTTTTCCCTGATAAAAAACAGGGTGCGAGCGCCAGGAGGGGCACTTGAATTGAAACAAACAATGTGCACCGGAGGGGGATCAACAATAATTATTATTCTGTAATAAATTCAACAGCAACAACATCATCATCATCATCATCATCATCATCATCATCAACAACAACAACAATAACCCGCATCGCAGAATCGCACTTCAGCCATGCACCCAGGGACAGTGAATGACCGTTCGGCCCCCTCACTCTGATATTTGCTTAGCGTGCCGCGGCGACGGCCCCGGCGACCCGCTATGCTGTGCGACTGGATAGCGTGTCTCTCCGTTTCGCGGGGCGAGACGAGACGAGACGAGACGCGCGTGTCCGCCGGCAGGCGGGCCCCTTAGGAGCGGCGCGGGCGGGCCGGGGCCCGGTCAGATGCGCGTGTGCGCAAGGTAATCCTTCCCCCAATTGTTCCACAATGTCCGTTTCGCGGGGCGGGGGGCGGGGAAAAACTCGGGACATCGATGCTCGAAGATGGGGACGTGGTTAGCGTGTCGCGCCGAAGCGTGGTGAGCCAGAACCGTCGGCAACCACTCCCGACCGTGACAAGGAGCAGAAGCTATCGCCATCCTCGCTCGAAGGGCCTCCGCCGAAGCGCACGAGGGGATCGCCCGAGCGCCTCAGACGGCCCGGCGAGCGTGCAAATATCCCAGCCGCTCGAACGGCTCACGGTTGCAAGCGGGTGGCTGGGAGTCTCCGGGCACACAGGCATGCTACTTTCGCGCACGCCCTTCAGGAGAAGGAGGTACGTGCCGTAACGAGGTGGATCCGCCTTCGGAGCAGATTTGGCGCTCGGCCCGCCCCCTGAGAGCAGGGGGGGAAAGAAGCATGGTCACTCGACTTTTGGAGTACAATCTCCTCCTCCTCCTCCTCCTGCTCCTGCTCCTCCTGCTCCTCCTGTATCCTCCTCCTCTCTCCTCCTTCTCCTCTCTCCTCCTCTCTCCTCCTCCTCTCTCCTCCTCCTCCTCCTCCTCCTCCTCCTCCTCGTCGTCCTCCTCGTCGTCCTCGTCGTCCTCCTCCTCCTCCTCCTCCTCCTCCTCCTCCTCCTCCTCCTCCTCCTCCTCTTTCTAAGAACAAAAAACAAGGTTCTTAGAACATACATAGGGTGTGCTAAATCAAGACAGACTCCGTCAGAAATGTTCCAGGATCATCTCGTGGAGACCACAGGAAAGGTCCTTAGAACAACGTACGGTAGGGCTATAGGCGAGCTAGGACGCTTCGCCACTGCTCGATCGGGAGCGGCCAAGGAGGGGGGTGTCCAAGAGGGGGGGGGTGCAAATCATGACCGGCGGCATGTGCGCGGCCCAGCGGGGGGGCCAGGGACGCACTAAAACAAGAAGGGGCGCCACGACATCTGGGGAAATATCACGGCCCGCGCCATGATATCCCCCCCCCCCCCCCCCTAGCCACCACCCCCCTCCTTGCCGCCCCCGACTTGAGTTTGGAGCGAGAGGGCGGCGAGCAGTAGCACGGGCAGGACGGCAGGGCCAGGGGAGAACGCAGGACGGGCCGCGGGCCCGCCCGTCCTGCACGTGCCGTGGTCGCCTCTTCGCGGCGCCGCGGCGCGCGCGCGCGGCGCCCCGTCGAGCCGCGCGCGCAGCTGCGATTCCCGCCCGCGCAGCCAGGTAGCTCCAAACGGTCTAGCATTGTGGACGCCATGGCAGTGGACACTCTAACAGTCCTATCATTTAATTAAGATATTGCTTAAACTGTGCAGCGCATGCTCCAAACACGTTTCAAACATGCGTCTATGTGTTTAAAAATGTTAGAAGCATGTTTTAGACCTCTGGACATCATAGGGCAGCATGTTTCCTCTCCGTTATATTAATCGACTTGCACAAATCTAGCATCAGGTCGGGCCTGTCCCACTACAGGCGGATGTTGGACGAGAAACAAAACATGTTCCAAACATGCGCCAAGATAGACAAAAGTGGTCAAAGACTCGTCCCCGGGCTATTTGACTGTTTTTGGACACTCCTCCTGTAGAGGGACAGGCCCGACTTGAGTCTAGCAAACATCCTATACTCGGGAGGCCTGGGGCGAACCCGCGCGGCGGCCGCCCCGCCTCCATGTCCCGGGCCACGCTCTCGTACCTGTGGTCGCCGTCGATGAAGACGAGGTCCAGCGACCCAGGCTCGACCCACCGGGAAGCCTCGCGGGCTGCCCTCGCAGATCCTGCTGCTGCTGCTGCCCCTCCCTCCCTCCCTCCCTCTCCTCCTCCTCCTTCCTCCTTCTGATCCCTCCCTCCCTCCTCCTCCTCCTCCTCCTCCTCCTCCTCCTCCTCCTCTTCCTCCTCCTCCTCCTCCGCCTCCTCCTCCTCCTCCCATCTTCTTCGCCATCCTTCCTCCTCCTCGCTACCCCTCATTCTCCACCTCCACTCTCGTTATGTTCCTCCTTCTGCTGTTACCTCTCCTGCGCTTGCTGCTGTTGCTGCTCGTCCTCCTTCCTCTCACCTCTCTCCTCCTCCTCACCTCCGCTCACCTGCTTCCTGCCCCTCATCCCCCCTCCTCCTTCTTTCTCATTGCTCCTCCCCCTCCTCCTCCTCCTCCTCCTCCACCATCCTTTCCTTTCTCCTCCTCCTCCTCCTCCTCTCAACCCTCATCGTCCCTCATGGTGCTTCCTTTGCTCTTCCTTCCCTTCCTTGCCCACATCTTCCTCCCTCCTCTCCCTCGCTCTGTATCGCTCGCTCTGTATCGCACGGGTCGGCGCGACAGAAGGCCTCGCCACGCGCCCTATCAGATCCTGCCCGGGCTGGTCTCCATGCAGGCGCGGGCTGAAGAACTGCTCTGGGCGTAAAGGGGGCCTGGTGGATTTCAGATATCCTTTTTCGGCACCGCTGTCTCTCCCTCTCTCTCTCTCACTCTCCCTGTCCCTCTCTGTCTCTCTGTCTCTCTGTGTCTCTCTCTCTCTCTCTGCCTCGGTCTCTGTGTCTGTCTCTGTTCCTCTCTCTCTCTCTCTCTTTCTGACCCACTCGCCCGAATGCTTTCAAATTTGAGGAACTTCCTCCTCAAATTTGGAGTCGTTCATCTTCCGTCAGTCCGTTGCGGGGGGATTGTGCACTTGAATGTCGAGAAGGGGTATTGTATAGAAGGGCGTGGTGCCAATGCTGAAAATCGCGATGTTCTCTACAATAGCCGCATATGCGTCACATTACGATTTCAACGACTTTGGCTTTGCGCCGATCGCCTCAGACAACATCAGAATGTAGTTACAACTTCCCCAAACGACAGCCGTCCAATCTGAACGGCGACGAAAACGGCAATTCCATGACGCCCTACCGCCAGGCGCGCGATTCCTGAACTTTCGGGATATCTGGAATGAATTGGTGCGACTCCAGAATTTCTGGAACGTCGTTCCGGAATTTCCAGAATCATGGCTTGCATTGGAACGCTACTATTTGTACATTCCAGAATTTCCAAAATTACGTTCTAGGCGATACGGAAATTCTGAAATCACGCTTTCCGCGATTCGTAATCTCTGAAAGCACGTGCCTAGCGATCGGGCGTCCTGGAACAGTTGGGGAAGTTGGAATCAGGAATGTTGACTCTGATTGAAGCGGCCAACGCAGAAGCCAGCGTTATAGAAATCGACGCGCATGCGGCTATCGTAGATAACATCGCCTTTTTGCAGCATTCGCACCACACCCCTTTATACGAGGTTAGTTCGTCTTATGGAGAAGGAAAGGAGGGTCTGGGCTGGGGAAAAGGTCGCAGGGGAGAAAACTACAGTCGTCGATCCATGGGCGTAATGTTTTGACCAGGCCAAGAATAAGACGACAAGGGAAAGGAGGGATGAGCGAGGAATTTTCCTATCGAACCTCGATCATCATCCCGTCCAATGCCCTCGCACCTCGATCTTGCTCTTCCCCCCAAGGCGGGCGAGAAGGGATACTAGGAAGGACGGGGCACTCGAATTGCAGATCCTCGAGCTCTGAATCCTCCTCCTCCCTCCCCAGGGAGGAAGGGCGAGGAGGGCGAGGAGGGAGGCCGTCCCCTCGAGCTTGGATCCTCCCATCCTCCCCGTCCATCCCGTCAATTTCGCTCCCCGTGCACCTCGATCCTCGCCCCCGTGAGACTGATAAAGCCCGTGCCTGTGTACCATGAGATGTTCATCATGGGTTCCATGTGGCTGCTGCCTTTCTTCGATTACCCGAGTTAATTTATGTACATCAAGCTGTTGCATAGCGTCTTCCTGTACTCCGTCGCCGTTTCCCTAAAATCGTATGCGCAGTGCGTTCTTCCGCGGTGTCCTACACACCCCTCTTGTGGCGAGTTTACAAAATAATTCTGTGTTGGCCTTATGGGTGAAACCATTTGTTTGCACCTCACAACATGATCCCTTGTATGACGACCTTCCAAAATTAATGCCGTGAGGAGTGTCGAATGAAGCAACCAAAACAAGTAAATACAACACCACATTGAAATGAACCAGAAGCTGAACGAACCGTTGCTTTGTACCTTCGCAATGTCCAAGGGGCAAATGGAAAACGAAATATGTCTTCAGCGTCTACGTGTGACACCGGAGATCGTACATTCGGAAGCCACACCGTGTTTGAGCTCGGGGTGGCGCAAACGCTGTGGGGTCATTGCCTTGCCTAGCCACCGTCACCAGCGACATTGTGATACGCACAAGTTGATACACACCATGGCAGACGAAGACGCGGTCGGGCCATGACGGAACGGTCCGAGAAAGGAGAAACAATAATGGTGGCTTCACTGGGCAATTGATCCCCGCCTGGACAACAAAACGGTACCAGTGGATCCGCGAGTACAGTTCTACTTTGGCCAGCAGTTCTTCCAGGGCCAAGCCATCTTCCCCTCTCCAACAAACAGGAGCAATGCGCAAGGCCCCTTAAGAAAGGAATAGTTGTTGACTCCGCCACTACAGGAATCAACATGTAACTCCGATTCGAAACGCAACGATTCAGAACCAACCCTTTTTTGGCGTTCTGGCTCCCATCGGCGAAGGAGGAGAAGCGCAAAAGGAACGAGGGAGGACGAAGACGAGACCAAGGGAGGAGTAACGAACAAGAGGAAGAGAAGCGGCGGAACGATAGATTTACAAAATGACACGCACGCAAGAGTTGAAGTCCTCCATGTCCACATGTTCACCTGAACTCTTAAACAACTACACCAAACATTTTTGGAATGCCATCTTGTTGAAAAGTAGCTTTCGCATGTTCCGTCGATCGTGGAACTCCCCCACGGGTCTCAGGACTCCAGGAGGGACCCGAAGGCCGTCGGGAAGCCGAGAAGCACCCAATGGGGCACCTGCTTGTGTGCCGCTCTCTCCAAGCAGTGCTCGCACGTAGGGGACTCTTGCCTAGGTTTCCGCGGCTCGCCTGTGCATGCCAAGGCTTCACCACGCTGTCGCCCGCTGCCGCCCCTTGCGAGCCTCATCGGGGATCTTCTGACCCGGGTCAGTCCAGACCCGGGTCAGCAGGAAACCAAAAACTGCAATGCAGGAAAAAAACACTGCAACGCAGGTCTTCGCAAACCCGGGTCAGCCAATGGGCGCGGCCGCCTCGCGACCACGAGCGGCTCGCCAACCCGGGTCAGCCAGAGGGGGTCTTCGCAGGATCCTGCAGGATCCGGTGCCGTGGCTGACCCCCCGTCTGCCTTGACCCCCGTCTCGAGGCGTCCCCGAGCCTCGGGGACGCCGCGTCTCCCAGGTGGGCCCGTCGACGTCTCGCCGCGTTGCTGCCCGTGGGCGCCCGTGGGCCCCTCGGCGGGCGCCCCTGCGGAGGCTTCGCGAGGTCGTCGCCCGCGGGCGCTCTGGCAGGGTTAAGTCGGGCCTGTCCCCCTACAGAGGGATTTTCGACGAAAAAAATAAAAAAAAATACCCCAAAATAATCCAAAGATAGTCCAAACATAGTAGGTGGACTTTCTTGTATTATTTTGTTGACCTTTTTGGGGTATTTGGGGGGTATTGTTTATTTTTCGTCGAAAATCTACCTGTAAGCGGGACAAGCCCGACTAAATGTTAATGGTCGGGGCCCACCGAGGACTTCGCGACGCTGCCGCCTCCGGGCGCCTCGCCTCGTGGGCGCTCTGGGGGGGGGGGGGGGCGCACCGCTGGCACCGCGGAGGGCTGGGGCCACACCGTGTCTCGCACCTCCGCAGTGCAAGGCACTGCTTGGGCTGTGTTGTTCCCATCCTACTCAAGGACCGCATCCCAGACATAAGCTCGAGCACCCCGAAAATGTCAAAAGTGTCGGGCGAGTGTCTCCCACGGGCCGGCACGTGAAAACCCTTGAATTTCGAAGCTTTTTTCTGGCGCTCGAAGTTCTTCCTGGTGATCAAGGCTAAAGTAGGTTGGAGCATCAGAATGCTTGGGGCCCCGCTCAAGCTCTGAGAATCATTTTGTCTATGTCCACCGCTGAAGAGACAAGACGCCGAGGCTGCAGCTCTGCAGCAGGACGTCGACGACGCAACGGCGCATCACAGAGGCCAGTGTGAGAACTGCGACTGGAATGGTAAGCACACGTGTGATGTGATGTGCAGAACATGGGGGTGTAGCTCGCGAGATCCGATGAGCAGGACCATTGTTGGGTAGTGGAGTCCAGGAGGGCATGACGTCGTGGAGCAACTTCACTGGCCCGCGATCACAACGAAGAGTCATGAGGAGGCTTGCTGGCTGGCTGACAAGACCATGACCATTGCCAGATGGGATGACGAGCCATGAGCGCCGCGCCAGAAGCCGAGGACGCATGGTGCTTTGGCGCTGCCACAAGACGGCGAACACGACTCCCCCCCACCAGCCGACGCCGACACAACGGGAAGGTCGATGGGCACGAGATGGGCCGAGAAGCCAGGATGTAAGGGAACGCAGGAGGAGGAGGAGGAGGAGGAGGAGGAGGAGGAGGAGGAGAACAAGGAGGGGGAGGAGAGGAGGAGGAGGAGGAGGAGGAGGAGGAAGAGGAGGAGGAGGAGGAGGAGGAGGAGAGGGGAGGAAAAGAGGAAGAGGAGGGGGAGGAGGAGGAGGAGGAGGAGGGAGGAGGAGGAGGAGGAGGGAGGAGGAGGAGGGAGGAGGAGGGAGGAGGAGGAGGAGGAGGAGGGGGGAGAAGCAAGAGAAATCTGGCCGTGAGGATGCTCTCTGGCCGCCCTCGCGCCACACCTGGTCCGGATGCGGCGCTCCCTGGGGTGGGCAGCG